AGATTCTGGCAGGTTTAATTTTATGTTTATTTTTCAGCTCTGGCCCTGCTCCATCACCCAGCAGCTTTCTCCCCAGTCCATCTCCACAGCCATCACAGAGCCCAGCAGCTGCACGAACTCCTCAGAACTTTAGTGTCCCATCCCCAGGTCCTTTAAACACTCCAGGTAAATGATCTGAGAGCCACACTGCACACCATGGGTCAGGCTGTGTTTTGGTAACTGTATAGTTCCTGGGAAACCTGTTATTTTTGGTACAGTGTAAACTTGCAAGAGCTCTACATAGCAGTTGGCATTGCAGGTAGTGACCATGTCACATACACCATGTAACAGCTTGGATTCCCAAATCAAAATCAATTGAAACCTCTTTTCTCATTGCTGAACTATGCAATGGGTTTTTCTAACTTCCCCAGTCTTTGAAAAACCAGTTATACTTAATTTAACAGAGAAAGTTTATAGAGGCAATGATTCCTTAGTTCCAACAAGGAGGAACCCTTAGTGACACTGTGCAGTTGTAAAGGACATAAGCACTTTATTCCAGACACCAGGCTTGGCTCCAGAACACCTTCCCAGGTGTACTCTGGCACTTTGCACTTCCCTACCAGACACAATAAGCAGTTTGTGATATTGTGAACGGAGTAACTTAACTGGCTCCTTCTCATACCAGTGTTGGGTGCTTTGCAGATAGAAAAGGACTCACTTCACAAAAACTGCTGTGAATTTATGGTATTTTTTTAGTGTTTAAAGCATCAGAGTGAAGGCAAAATAAAGACCTAGAAATGGCTATATGGAATTTTGGAACTTTTCAGAAAAAGTGAGAATTGCTGCTCTGCCCATAGAACATATTATTTCTACACAAAGACTGGCAAGCACTTGAACTGTGGAGGGCATCCAGCTGTGGGTTTTGGATATTTGACACGAGCTACACTTTGAGTGGCACATTTCAGATCAAGATTCTGAAATGTGAGAATCATGTTCTGCAGTATCTTTTATCACCTCTGACATGCAGTCTTCCTTTTTGCCAGGAAATCCAAATTCTGTCATGAGCCCAGCCAGTTCTGGTCAATCAGAGGAGCAACAGTATCTGGAAAAACTCAAACAACTATCAAAATACATTGAGCCACTCCGAAGAATGATCAATAAAATAGATAAAAATGAAGGTGAGGTTTCTTGTATTTGGCCATGCATTTATCTGTGTCAGCTCTTTTACCTACTGAAAGAAGCAATACTTTGTCTTATGTGGTGACTTCTTTTCCAGGAATTAAAAATGTCAGAGAAAGTTAGCTGCTCTTGCTTCTAACTAAAGATTTTAGTGTGAGGAGTGGGAAAAATTCTTACCCTTAAATTCTCATTAGTTTTTTTTTTTTTGTTTGTTTGTTTTTTTTACTTCTGATGGTTTTGAAACATGTAGCATTTATGCTTTGGATATACTTAGGATTAGATGAGAGGTCTTTAATCCTCACTGCTTTCTTTAGTATTGGTTCATGTTTTCATTTTTGACAGTGTGCTGTGTTTCTGTCTGCAGAAACAGAATCTAGTAGTCAGTGTTTGTGTTTCTCATACTGTTTCAGACAGGAAGAAGGACCTGAGTAAAATGAAGAGTCTCTTGGATATCCTGACTGACCCTTCAAAAAGGTAACTCTTCCTGTCAGTTTTCCCAGCTATCCAGAAATCTGTTGCTCAGCACCCAGCCCTGTTGCCATTGAGGCTCTCTGGGGCTCAGCCAGCAGAAACTTCAGCTGAGGTGCCCATTTGGAGGTGATGGGGGTGAAATTTCTCCTCTTTTGCAGGTGCCCCCTGAAGACACTGCAGAAATGTGAAATTGCTCTGGAGAAGCTGAAAAATGATATGGCTGTGGTATGTAATGTTCTGTGCCAGCACAGACCCATCCCAAAAAAGACTTGGCAGGATCATTTTTGCAGTTTTTATTACACTGTTAAAACTTCAAGCAAGGTTGGACAAAGAAAGAAAGCAGGAAAAACTGGGCAAGCATTTAATTCATGTCACCTGTATGTATCTTTTAACTGAACTTTCAATTTCTTGTGCTTTGTGCCAAGACTTGAATAATTCTTTCTTTGGACTGTGGCTGATTTAAGGACAGCCTTCCTAAACCAAAACTGCATTGTTTTTGGTATATTTTTTTTTTTTTGCTTTACTTACTCCCTTAATGTTATTACATACAGTTTTGAGAATAATTTGCATTTCATGCCTTGAAAGTTTACAGCTATAAAATTTTTCAGAATCAGCAGTAGATATTTCTGGTTTGGTGATGATTAAAGGAAAAGGGGGATTCTGTTGTGTTTCAGCCTACTCCACCACCTCCCCCAGTGCCCCCTACCAAGCAGCAGTACTTGTGCCAGCCCCTTTTGGATGCTGTTCTGGCCAACATCCGCTCCCCAGTCTTCAACCATTCCCTGTACCGGACGTTCATGCCGGCGATGACCGCGATTCACGGGCAGCCCATCACGTACGTACCGGGGGCTGCTGCCTGTCCTGAGGGCTCAGCACTGGAGGAAAAAATGTCTCTGTAGAAATTGTTAAAAAAAACCAGATGCATTTATGGGTGGGGGTGACTTACAGCTGTTTGTTTTTCACGTGTGAAATATTTAACAAGTCCAGGGTTAGCTCGTTTTCACCTGGTCCTCTTGTGGAATGTGTCCTACACAGGGCCCCCATCGCTTCCCCTCGAAAGCGGAAATATGAAGAGGATGAAAGACAGACCATACCAAATGTCTTACAAGGAGAAGTTGCAAGATTAAATCCTAAATTCCTGGTGAACCTGGACCCTTCACACTGCAGTAATAATGGCACAGTTCATCTCATATGCAAGCTAGGTAAGAAGAAAGGGGGAGATGTGCAGTCTGGTTCCTCCTTGAGGTTCACAGGCTAGAAATCAAGCTCAATTATGCACAAAAATCCTCCTGTATGGCAAGAAATGCTCTGATGGAAGTGTGTTTGCCTTCTAGATGACAAGAATCTTCCAAATGTCCCTCCACTCCAGCTCAGTGTTCCAGCAGACTATCCAGATCAGAGCCCTCTGTGGATAAAGAACCCCAGACAGTATGGTATGAAGATGACATTTGTTGGGTGTGTGTATGTGGCAGTAGTGGGGAAGTGTGAACACCTAATGTTGCTCTTTTAATGTTTTTAATACGGTTTTTATGACAACTGCCTTTATCTGTTCTCTTTTTTTCTCCAGCAGCCAATCCCTTTTTGCAGTCAGTGTATCGATACATGACTTCAAAACTATTGCAGCTCCCAGACAAGCATTCGGTCACAGCTCTCCTGAACACCTGGGCACAAAGCATTCGTCAGGCCTGTCTCTCTGCTGCATAACAGCTCACCTCCTAAATCATGAAGCAACAACAGCTGGCCTCTTCCACATGCCACTGGAAAACCACAGTATGGGGAGGTTTACTTCAGAAGAAAGAAGCCTTACGGTGTTTTGTTTCTAGGTTGTCGGGTTCAGTAGAGAACCTGATGTTAGACTTAGTTTTCATGCTTTCTATCTTCTGCCTCTGTGGACTTTTGCCAGCATTTTCAGATATACAAAATGTGTATATATGGTTCTCAAGACTGTATTTAGGGTGAGTTTTTATTGTCTTCTTAGAGAAGAAATTATTTGTGGACTTCCATCAGGGAGTCTGGGATAAGAGGGGGTAGGGAAAAATGTCCTAATTTGCTTCAAAATTTGCTCAGTGCCAGTATTTCTTTCACATTTTGTTTTGTGACCTGATACTGCCCCAGAAATAAATGAGCTGTAGCACAAATGTGCTTGCAAACTTCCCAGAGGGCGCAGGAAATATTTTTGACTACTAGCTTTGCCCAGAGATGGGATAAATTATATCCTTTTAAGGCACCCTCAAATATATATCATAAATCTGGATAATTGTACTTGGGGGTGGGAATGTGGAATCAAACAGAGCAAAAAAAGGTATTTTATAGCTTATTTTAAATGCAACTTTGTATAAATGGTTTTTGGTTAGCATGGACCATGTTTCTCACTCCAGAAGAGTAAGACTGATGAGAAAGAAGAGATACTAATGTGCACATTGACTTCCTCTATAAATTCAGTAAATTGTAGGTGAAGATGGGGGGGAAACCAACAGCATAAAGGCCAAGTGCCAGCAATCAATCCAACAGGTTTGGAGCTGCATTTCTTCTTTTAAGAGTCTTTCTGAGGCATCTGGCTTCCAGTGGGAGTTAATGCAGTGCACTTAAAATGTTTCTATACTACATCAGTTTGTTTAAACAAAAAAGGCAAAAAATATCTCAGGAGTAGAACTGACAACTCATCCATTGTGCCTTCAACAGTGATGGGCACTCAAGTCAGTCAGCAGCTGCCTTACTGTTGGCACTTTGAATGAAAACATTTGCCACAAGTAACTCTAATGCATTTTTCATATTTCCCTACGTGTCTAAATTGCTCCTTCTTTAGTTCCTGGTGCAGGAGAATTTCAAGCAGTAGATGTTCCCATTCTATCCTGCCCCATCTCTCTCTGTATTATGCAGCAAACCTTAAAAGAGTAGCTGGGCTCTCTTACAGTAGTGTCAAGAGACTGCTATGACCTCTGTAAATCCATGTGGTGTCATCAGTTTTAGGATGTTCTTAAATGTGGGTACTTAGTAAGCACTGACTGAGGCAGCAGAGTGCTGTCAGTATTTTGTACATGAGCTACTGCATCATCTGTTTGTTTCTACTGTAATAAATTTATTATTATTCCTGTGTTGGATGCTAACATTGTACTGCTTTTCCCCTGTTAGGATACCATGGGATGAGGGTTACTGTGTTGTGTGGTAAGTGAAAACCCACAGGCATTGAAGGGTAGGGGACAAACCCATAAATGGCTCTGTAGCTCCTGCTCCTGCACCACATCGTTCCTGTCCTTAGTGAGCTGGAGAACTGGTTAGTGATGGGATCTACCTCTGGGATGACTGCAGTTTCATAAATATTCATGGCTCATTCTTCCCCCCTCAAAAAAACAAAACAAACACCATATTCATTAGAGTCTACAGGAACACTTTTATAAAAATAAAATTTACATTGATTATCATCTCTACAAGGCCACATCAATGTTTATAAAACTCCATTAAGTTTAGTATTAAAAAATATCTTAGGAAGATCTGATACAATTAAAACATTTTAGTCATAATCCCAGGCTCATCCTTAAAGCATTTATTTTTGCAAGCCAGGAAGAGGAAACTAGTGTTCATGTGGTTTCCATCCTTCAAAGAAAAAAGTCATTATTACAGCATAAAGAAAATACCCAGTTAGGATAATGAATGTGCAGCCAACTGGCCCAACATAAAACCAGGATGCAAGGAAGTAGATCATCAGCAAAGATATCAGAGTCCTGTAGCTGGCCAGAAACCTCAGACTGATCCTGGGTCCCCAGTTCTGGCTCGTTCTGTCCCTCACCACAGGGCTGTACCTGATTTTCTGTACGAGCTGGGGGTTGGTCAGATGATAGCGACACAGTCTGCCAACAAAATCGTCCCTGGAGCAAAGCACTTCCATCTGATCAGCAAACTGAGGGAAGATGCATTTAAAAATTAGTGTCCTCTTGCAAATGCTGTCATATAGTAATTTATTTTATGATTTTCTTCATTTAGAGAATGAGGATTATAGGAAATGGGGGGATCAAACTGCACTTTTATACAGCAGAACTCTTAGGGTTGACTTGCCTTCTGTTTTCACACTTAAGAAAATCATTTGCTTTCCCTGTTTAGGAAGCATTCATTCTGAATGTTACTCCACTGTTCATCAACCATGAGTCCCCTAATAAATCACATTTGCAATGTTTTGTGTAGGAAAATCAGAATTACAGGTAGAGAAACAGGGCATTTCCTAGTGGTATGAGACACCTGGACCGCAATAAAGATGGAATAAGAACAAGTGAAGTGTCATCCATGTACAGGGGGAGTAAAGAACAGAAGTGTGCAGTGGAAAAGTGGAGGAGGCAGTGCTGTGCTTACCCTTTCGTTGAGCACCGAGGACAGGCGGAACAGCAGCCGGACCAGAGCGGCGTTTTCGTAGCTCCGGATGGGCTGGAGCTCGGTATCCCCCTGATACTGCAGCTCAAACCTCCGTAAGCCATTTATGATCTAGAAATGGGAAAATAAACCTCACCTTGCAGCTCCCATCTGAAACACCTCTTTAATGGCACCCCTCTTAGTTGCATTTCTCTTCATCATAGAAGGAGAACTTGTTTATTCAAGAACAACCTAGGCAGTGATATGGAATTGTTTTTTCTCTCACCTGGTACCTGCCAAGAGGTGTAAGAATGAGGCCATTCTCACTTGCAATGCAGTCTGGAAGTTGTTTTTTTCCATTCTCATCTTGAGCTGTCCCACACTTCATCATCATCTGGGTGAGCTGGGCTTCACTCAGCTACACAAGAATAACACAGTTCCAAAGCAGGTGTTTGATCTGCCCCCATTTAATTTATTTCTCACTAACAAACTCATTAGCACTGGAAGTCCTTGACAGCCAGCAAAAATACCATGAACTGCTTAATAGCACCTCAGTTAGACATTAAAATGAGATAAACCTCTCCAGATTTGTCTGTGTTTGTCCAGTTCTAGTTTGTATCTCCCTTAGCTCCCAAGGAGTATCAATGAGCTGTCTCCTAGGGCAATTCTGTACAAGGGAGTGTGGCTGCAGAGAAATTTATCTGTTATTTTTATGTTTAACAGTTCATCCTTAGCTGCAAGTTGTATTTTTACAGCTCTACATTAAGAAGATGCTGGAGAGACCTTAAAATTGCCTGTTTGGAAACATGAGGATAAGTTTGGTATAAACAAGTTTGGTATAAATGATAGTCCAAAAGAGTGGTCACTTAAAATAGGTTTGATACTTAGAAATTCAGAACACCTAATTCCATCTGTATTAAAAATGGGTTTTGAAGCAGGTAAAGTTGAGATGTTAGAATTTACTAGCAAGGTCTCTGGACAGCTCTGTGACCCCACAAAGGACACAGACATACATTGATGAATCCTGACTCTTGTTCTCACTGCACAAGTTCTTAGAAAGATGTTACTTACCTTAAAGATCTGGCACAAATATTCCAGTGCCTTCTCCAAATATTCATCTGTTTTTTTGATGCTGTCCTGCCCAATTTCATCAAGGTCATTGCCTGTGTAGGAACCATTCACTTCAGATGGTGTGAATCTAAACCATGAGAAGAAGGACTGGCTGGCCATTGTCTCTGCAGAATGGTCTGATATGGACTTTGCTGTCTGTTGTGCCTGACAAATTAACTGAGCCAGTTTTAACACCTAAAACAAAAAAAAAAAATGAGTGTGTGGGACAAAGATAAAGGACTACTAAGCATCAATACATGGGTAAAACTCTGCCTTGACAGTTGCAAGTGAGAGCAATCCCAGCAAACTCATTCTCTTAGTGCACATGGATTTGTGCTGTGAGCTGGATTTCCAACAGGGCAGAGGCAGTTCTCTTGAAGCTTTTAAGGAATCTCAGTGCTGCTTAGGTTCTCCAGCTGCCTTTTTTCTTTTTCCTACTGCTTTTGTCTGGACTTGCTGGTAGGTACTGATCAATCAGATCACAGTAATCATGTTTGAGAGGAAATATCATATACTGCTCCAAGGCAGCAAGCTGTTACATTAACTTACTAGTTATCAAAGAGAAGCAGACTTTTACAGCTGTGCTGAACTGAGACCCCTCAGGGTCCAGAAGTCACTCAGCAAACTAAATTATTCAGTAATGCAGGGTGTGAAGTTTTCCACTGTTAACTTCTCCTGATATGAATGCTCAGCACTGAGAATACATCTGTCACAGTAGAAAGGCAGGTGACAAGGAGCTTGTTGCTTACCAAATTCCTGACTTCTGTGCCAAACATCTGTTTGTACTGGAAGTCCTGTCCTTCCAGGCTGTAAACATGACTCTTCACCTTAAATGAGGCATCTGTAACAGCTGGAGACCGTGATGACAAAAAACTCCCACCAAGAGTGGGGCTCATAAAAAGTCGGTGTTGACGGTGGGGAATGACAAGTTCTGGCTCCAGGAATAACTGTTCTCCTAGAATTTGAAAAAAAGCAGTGGAGATGGTTACATAATACTGGTCTTGCTGGGGAAGGTCCAGCTGCCTTAAGGCTGCTTTTTTTATTTAGAGAGTGAGTTCTGAGGGGAAGGAGGCCTTAATCAGTTCATTATTTACTTCTCTCTGCCCAGAGTAGAAAGTGCCTGTGTGCATTTAATGCAGACCATACAAAGCAGCATTTTAATTTTGTAACATTTTTTAACAAAAGGCAGTGGAGAAATATACTTCAGACATTGATACCAAATCTAACCACACCCTAATTATCCTGAAATGCACGCATGACTCTTTTACTAAGTACAGAGACTTTCAGAGATATATAAAGTTTAAATCCTGAGGTATATACTGAAGTAATACAAGTGTGAGAAAAACTGACAATTGGGTTCATTGTTCTTTAAAGGGAAGTTGTGGAATGCAGTCTGTGGTGATTAGAAAAGAACTACAGACTCACTAAACCAATTGACAAACATTAATGAAGACAGACTGCTGAATGGCAAAATAGCACAAAAAATGGGAGAGAGGTCCATTCACCTCAGTGCTTCTGAGATGAGATATAACTATTGTGAAGAAAGACTGAGACAGGACAACACAAGATGTCAAAATATCCTTTTACCTTTCAGGATCATTTCAGCTAGATTGGGCTGAGCAAAGACCTTAGCTACTCGGAACACCATGAGGGCGTTTTTTGGACTGACCAAGTCTGTTCGAAGAGCTCTGTTCAGAAATCCCACAAACAGCTTGGTATACATGAGCAGGTTTTCTTGAATGAAGGCAGCCCTGTCAAAGTGAGAACAGGATTTGTGAGTACAGCTATTTAAAGAACTGTTGTCTTCCACCAAATAAGCCACTAAGGGAATGTTTTATACTGTCCCTGGAAAGATGGCAAATTTACATGGAGAAAAAAGAATACTCTCAAAACAAGTACTGGTGTTCTAAGAAATCTTTCTCTAGTCTTATATAAGTAATTAATTCAGGTTGGTGCATAGCTCCTGAAATCCTGGTGTTTTAGTCAGGATCTCCTTGAGGTTTGGCTGAGATCAGTCCCAGCTGCTCCCCTCCTCACCATTTCTCCGAGACACTGCGAGGCAAAGGCTCCGTGCTTTGTGGTGGCTTTTCGGGCGCGTACCTCCAGGGCTGCAAGTAACTCAACCACATCTCAAGAACCTAAGCAAATGTACACATAAACCCACATGAGTGCCAATAAAGGAAGGCAGGAAGGGTTTTTTGTTAATTTATTTGTTATATAAAGAATTCCACTAGAAAAGAAAGATGTAAAGGCTAAGAAACAGCTGCTGAACGGCAGTAACTAATAACTATTTCTAATAACTAGTTCTGTTGAGTACAGACTTAGGGGGAGAAGCAGGTACATACTGCTCTGAAAGAGGCATCCAGAGGCCAGTGGCCAAAACAGTGCTGCAGAAAGATATAAAGCTTCTCCTGGACAAACCGAGGAATCACAACCCTGCAAAAAGTTTCAAAGACATTCACGTGTATAAACTGGCAGCAAATTTTAAAAACAAAACACTCAACCATACCAACCAACAACCCAATACACTTTCACAAATGCAAACAGAGAAAGAATTGAGCAAAATTTGTTCTTTTTTTAACTGAAATGACTTCCAGCCGTTGAATTTCAACTCAAATTAAATACCAAATACTAAATTAACCTTGGCCAGAATCCTCTGGTAGCATTTTTTTTTCTCTATAGACTAGTGCAATAGCTGCTGCTGAACCCCCTCAGGGGCTTTCCCGTACTTTTAATAATGTACTTCTGTATTTAGCATCAAAACAACATAATTCAACCTCTCAGAGAAAGCTCAGCTTTTTAGTTCTATACATTTCAGAGACATGCTCATATACCAACCTTTTAAACTCCTCCAGTGGGCTGGCTGTGTGAGAATGGGCTGAAGGGGAGAGAGGCTCTGGTTTCAGGCTGTTGCTGAAAGCATGCAGATGTTTCACAAGCAGTCTTACCACTAGCACGTGCTCTTCAGTGGGCTTGAATGACTCCTAGATTTAAAGCAAAAGAGAGGCAACTAATGAGTGTCATTTGCTAAATGTCCAAGGAATTCAGGAAAATTATATTCTCAGATCCAAATACAGGAAATGCTCTCTTCCTTCTAGGTTCTTCACCATAGTTTGGTGCCACCTGATTTTGGACAGGTTTGCTCCCCAGGACAAGCTGCATCAATCTTCTGCCACCAGTTCACTAAGAAACAGGAGCAGCATATTTGGATTGTAAGAAAAGTTATCTACAGTACTCTAATGAACTGAATTTTGGGCTGGCTTTAAAGAACAGAGTAACTTGCAGATTTTTGACTTACCCCTTTCTGAAAAAAGAATATTCAGCCTTTCATTATGGCTGTAAGTTCATTGCTGCAGAAGCACAGCAGGTCCTTTGTTTATGCTCATGGCTTTACTGAGTTCTCCTTCCTATGCTGGTGCTCATCAACCTTACAGGAGAGAATAATCCTACACAGTTACAGTCAGAATAAGAACTGTTTGGAGTCCTGTGAGATCCTGTTGGGTCTAACATCCTCAGGGGGAGAAGCAGCCTGGGTGGGAGCAGCACAAGGTGAGCCACAGTGATGTTACTAATGAGAAGTGTGTGTTTGATAGAGCAAGGAGGTGAACGAGGCAAAGATGTGCTGGTTCCCCTGGCTGCTGAATGTGCAGCCAAAGCACAAACTCCTCTGCTACTGCCACCTGCTTTAATAGTGAACTAATCTCAATCCACCTCTGAAGGCAGATTTTGAGATCTGTACTCTGTTTCACTGAAGTTGAGAAGAATAATGTACATGAAATGTAAGTTACAGCTGCAGATATAATGGGAAGTGCTGGAAAGGTGTATTGGATTAGCTGCAAGAAGTTTCCAGTGCTTGAGGCAGGGAGGGAGGGTGTGTCTATGTCTGTCTTTATGTCCCTTCTCAGAAATGCCTGAGGCAGAGCAGATGTCCTTTTACACTCTAAGATGTTGAATACACTGTGCCAGTCACTCCAGGCTCGATGACAGACACAGCCCTGTAGTGCAGCCAGACCCGAGACTCTCCTGACAGAGGGATAAACCTTTACCAGCTCTAATGAAGGCTGGGCTTGTTTCTGACAGCTCCAACTTGTATCACCAAGTTTTCTACAGTCCTGATGAGTTTGTGCAAGAAGGCAGAACTCCTGTGTGGTCCCTTGGAGTTCACACCAGGATCTCCACAGCAATTAGAGAGGCTGAGTACTCTGCTACAGGCCTTGAAAGGGTGTCATTTTAAAAATCCCAAGCCCCCCTTGAAGGTACCTTTGGAATTTACAAAACCACCCTATTTCAATACATCATTTTGGGTGATGTTAGTAGTTTTTCCACATAGCAGCTCTTACAATTTCCTCTTAGCCTGGATCACCACCATTATGAATGTCACTGCTTTAAAAACTGCTTTTCCCCACAGTGTTTTTGCTGTAAAACCTTTTCATACAGGATGGATGTGTGCCATTCTTAATACAATAATTAAATAAATGTTACAGTAAAAAAGATTTAAAGTAGTACTTTCTGTGTTCCTTTCTAAACAGCACCTTGAGATATCATAGCACTTAATTAAAACAAAACAAAAAAAGGATTAAAGAGCAGATTAAAGGGAAATGCCATGTAGTGCTAAAGAGCTTTACAGTATATAAGCTTAGCCCTCCCATTCCCAAAATGAAGACCCAATGAATAAAAGGGCTGAAGTAGGGAAAGAGGAATCAGCAATCTGTTCCAACAGGAATGTTTTTGCATGCACATTTCCTGAACAATCTGCAAATGTACCACTTGTGCTTTTGCAAAAGTGGAGTCAAGTTGACATTGCCACCACAAATTTAGCATTATCCAATGACATTTCCTTGGCTAAAAACCCCCAGATGTTACCTACCTTAATCTGGGTGACAGCCATGCAAATTCTGATCTTTTCTTCCACGCAAGGTTTGCTTAAATGACTACTGTGTGAGAGGCAGAAATCTGCCACTGGTGAAGACAGCTTTGGTGCCAAAAAACAGCATAGCTGGTTAAGTCTTACACTGCAAGAATGCATCTCTAGAAACAGAGTTTCCAATTAGTCCTCATAACATGCTAGAGTTTAACTCTTTTCTCCATGACCTTTGCTAATATCTCTCAGTATCTCTTTCACTGAACAATTTTAGTGAATTTCAATGCAGTGTTCTCAAATTATAAAACCACACCTTGGCAGAAGAAGCTGCTGTACAGCCAGCACCAATACACTTGGCAGATTATATGATGGAACAAGATTTTTAAAAAGGAAACAAAATGAAAAGATGGTAATACTTGGTATGCGTGGAGGGCCTGGTAGCTGGATTGGGCAGGACTACCGTGGTGTTTACTGGAGATACTGAGTCGGTAGTGGAGAACCTCCAGCTGAGACAACAGAAACAAAAAGGAAGGGGGGAGGGAAAAAAGGAGAGAAGAGAGCAAGAGAAAAAAAAAGTGAGAATGAGCCCAAGGAAGAAGGGTGGGGGGAAAAATGAACATCACAAATACAGTCAGGGACAACATATCACAATAACAACTGCAGCCACAGTATCCTCTTTTTTTCTGGTGTTCAGTAGATTGATTCCACAGTATTTCTTACCCTTTATCAACCTGGAAATACAGCAGGTGTCAAAAAAGTGGCTGTTCTCTTTGCTGTGCTCAGAGCAAGGACTGGTGGGGAATATAGAGCTTTTGCCAAAGAAATTCCCCATTTCAGAAGTGAATTGAACTGCAGCAACAAAGATTTACACACCCTTACAGTGTTTTATTAAAAATGGAGTAAGAAGTATTCTGCAAGCGTTTTTACATTGAAAATTTTGTCATTTCTTCCTATTCTGCTGGAGAAGCACAATTTGTATGAAGAAGAAACTCATATTGGACTTTCCTGTCCAGAGAAATCCTATGTCTTCTCTCTACCTAAAGGCTATTTGGGAAGGCTGCAGGTCTTGTGAATTTCCTCAAAAGAGGAAATGACTTTTGCTATTAGAGAAACATTACACATCTAAAAAGGCAAAGACATACCTAGCACAGTGTTACATGCTGATGCAAAAGGCATCTTGCCATAACACTGAAGTCTCTGCACACCTCAGCCACATCCCTTCTCCAAGGAACAACCTGACCAGTATTTTCTGACTATGACAGTGAAGAGGATACTGTAGCAACAGTGACACACATGTATGAAATTAATGAAAAAACATAAAACAAAAAATGTACACTACACAGACCCCAATGACTGTTGTCAGGCATCTAAACTAACTCTCCAGATCACACCTCTGCTGTCTTTAAACAGCCTCTACCCTGTCTCCTCCGCTGTCAGTTTGGCAGCTTTTGGTTTCACACCCTTGGAGTGGCAGGATTGTTACTGCAGGCTCCCCAGGAGCTTGGGCAGATTGTCTGCTTCCAAAGTGACTCCCCTGCCACAAGAATCTGCAAACCCCTGGATTTTAATGGGTGTTCCACATGCAGTGCAGGGGCTGAACACCTGGCACTGGAAGGTCAGGAAGCATGACAAAGTTTTATCAAACTACTTATTTTTAAGGGTTTCTTGTGGTAACAGCAGAAGGGAATAGGAAAAAAGATGCTGCACACTTGGACTCTAGATCATCAGAGAGAGAAAAGACAGACAAAAGAATTGGAAAATAGTTGAATTAAAAGGGAAAACAGTGACAGCATAGCAAATAGCATCAATCTCAGGTTCACAGCAGACTCAAAAAGAATTCAAAGCTGTAATATGTATCTTCTCAATAGAAATTATTTACTATTCATGCCCATTCCACTGCCTTCTACCTATAAAGGGAAGTCTGTGATGACATTAACATGGTTTAAGGAAAAATCCATGATTCTGCTTCTCAAGAAAGTCACTTATCTGAGATCTGTCTTGGCCCATGAAAGCAAACGAATCTGGCTGCTGGGCAAAGAGTGAGCAAGCTCTGCAGAACCTCATCCCACCTTCCAATACAGATATGCAGCCATTTCAAATCACTGATGCTCAAACAGCTTGAGATCAGGACTGAGTGGTCTCTAATTCCCCTTCCTCCCAAACACACAGAAGGATAAATGGAATCAAGTGAACCTGCATAATTATCAATCATTTTAAGAATAAGGTATAGGACCACCTTAGGTTTCCAGTCAAGGCCTTTAAAGCTTGTGTTAAAACAGAACTTACACTTCTGGATGTTCTACTTCCTCATCTGAGGAACCACAAGGCAGACTGCTCTCCTTCAGCCCACACAGTCTACAAAGTTCAGTTCAGCATCACAGACTAATGAACAGTCCTGCTGCCAACTGATCTGGAACCTTTCCTCAGTCCTGCAGGAGAGATCCTGCATCCATTTATGTATCTCATGGGGATTTCCAGTCCCCCATTCCACTCTTCCACCCCCCAAAGACTTCCTTCTTTACATGTTCATGATTACTTCCCATCAAAGATGAAACTAAAATACCATCAGGGAGTTATGGCCTCAGGTTGTGGCTCAACACACCTTGTGGAGGATCCTGAAGTGCTGATTTCAGAGAACTGTAAGCTCTACCTAGGCCCTACTCCACCACAAGGTGCAGAGTCATTGTCTGCAACTGCTGCTCCCTAGTGCTAGAAGAGAGCATCTGAAATACAGAGGGTGAACAGAGGAGAGAAGTTTAAAGCAATCATCATTTCTGGCCTAAGCACAGCGCTTGATGCACAGAGACTGGACAGACAGACAGACCAAAGGTACTTCAAGCAAAGCCTTTCCATCACAGGTGCACAGCCATGCTGCTGGGAGTCCCAAGTGGAGACTTTGCAACATTAGTGAGTTTGCATTTTGACCTCAACTTTGAGAATAAAAAACAAAACCCATCACATTTCAGTTCTCCAATGTTTTTCCCTAACAAAATATAAATGTGTTTTATTTCATATCCTGTGGAACGAAGGATTAGGATTTTTCAATCAACTCTCATATTGCACTTTCACACAGGAACAAATCTTGAGTAGCTTTTATTTCTCTCCCCTTCTATGAAAGTCCCACTGTGACCCAGAGGGAATTCAGAGGATCAACATTTTCTCCTTCAAATTCCCTTTACATTTATAATGCCTTCAATCTTAGCCTCCCCAACATTTACTTACTCCTTACATGCAGTAGTTTGTTACTGAACAGGCCACCACAAACTGCTTACAATTATCTGAGCAAGAGCTTGCCAGATAATCCAATTCTGTAGCTACAGAACTGCTTCCGACACCATTAAGGTGAAAAGCATATTTTGGAACATGAAACAATATAAATTGCAGTTTAGTAAGTTTTGTTTTTTTTTTTTTTAATTTGGATTTAGGCTAAAAAATGGTTACAGATGTTAGAAATTACTAATTGGTATTTCAATAACAGTTGCTATCTCTGCTGGAAATCAATTTTAGCTATTTTTAGCAGTCATGTTGCCCCCCATGGGATTTAGCACAATGGTTTTATAGTGGCATCTTCTCGATCATTAGTACTTTGATACTGATGTTCAGATTGTTGTGACCATCCCACAAACTCATCTTGAACAAAAAAAAAAGAAACAAAAACCAGAACAAAACTAACACAACTTCTGCAATGAAGGCAAATCTGGATGACACACTTATTCACAACATTCTTTGTAACTGGATTATCAACTCTGGCACACTTAAATAGATACTCTGTTAAATTATTTCTTTCCTTTGGACCAATATACAAAAAAAATTCTGCACAGAATAAGAGATTTACCCCAAGGTAAGAGCTCAACCGCGGGTGATGTTCACAAGTGCAGTACAAATTATTACCTTGACATGCGGGGACTGCATTTTCTGATACATTTCCAGTGAATAATGATGAAGCCACATTTCAACAAAAATCTGCAAAACAAATATTTTCTCAGCTAGGGAAACAGAAATAATCCTGGACTGTCAGTCAGAAGACAAGTAAAAGGAAGACCACAGTAAATAACTTGAAAACTAAGCTGTACTGGTAAATAGCACCTATTGAAGATGTTTCAGGTTATCATGCCAATGGCTGAGATGACAAACTCTTAGCATCTGCCAGACATCAGTTAGTTCAGCAACTTGGTTTAGAACAACTGCTAAATCCAGAGTTTCTTTTCCTTCCCTTGATAATGAACAAAACCAACTTGGCTGTATTTAACCTCTGCCTTTGCACAGAGCACAGAATTGGTGTAAGATTTAAAAAAGAAAATCAGATGCAGAAACTTTTTCAGAAAAAAAATATTCAGATGCCTGAGGTCACTTGTTAGATCCTTAGTCTAAGAAAGGACATTTAGTGCCTTTCTAAGCTATAACTCCACAGCTTCACAGTGGTTCTTTGTTGCATTAACCAGAAGCAACAGCTGCACTGCTCAGTTCCAAAACCAAGCTAGAGCAAACTGGCCTAAATGCCTCTGCTTTAAAAAGAAGAGATCCCTCAGTGAGCAGAAAAAAAAGTTGCAGGGCATTTTCTTCCCTTAAATGCAAGGTACCTGAAGCAGTGTTTCTGATCTCCAGATCTCCTGGGAGGCTGGGTCAGCGTTCACAGAGGGCTGGTGGGCAATGTGCCGTTTCAGCAGGCTGGTGTGGTGCATGCCATAGGAGGAGAAAGGCACTGCTGGGGACCTTGGAGGAAAATGCAAAATAAAATACAGAAATCAGGAAGTCTTGGTGCACTACGGGGGGATGTAGGGATGTATCATTGCTTTTAATCAGTGTTTTCTAAAATCAGTATTTTATAAACTTTAAAACAAGTCTTTCAAACTGCAAAACTGATTACACATTTCAAACTTCTGCAACTTACTGCAATTACTAAGCACTTCAACTATAACCAACCACTGCATCACTATTCCTATGTGTAAGTACATAAAATGGAAGTCTGGAGGTGTTTTCTACTTGTTTGATTTTGTTCCAACAAGCCATATTTTGTCTGCACTGTTCCCACAATTTGCCCCTGACACTGTAGCCATTACCTGGGAGTAGGGGAAGGGATGGTTCCCCCAGGATTTGAAGAAGGTGGGGGAAGGACACTTCCTTCTGTGGGCAGGAAACACTTGAGGTATGTGTCCACCAGGATGAAATAAGCACTGTTGGAAGGGCTGACATGATGGGTGACAGGTGAGTTCTGTAACACACACAGGATATACCTGGGGTTAAACACTGCTGCTTTAAGCCAGTCCTGGGGAGTGTTGCCAGACCCCCTTAGCATAAAAAAAGCAGAGGCCCAGTGGTTAGAAAGGATGAAATGGCAGCAAAGACCCCTTGGAGCAAAGGAAAATGAGCTGCCAGAAAAGGGCTGCTGCAGCAATGATTGTAACGAAGCAGGAGAAGAGAGGTAACAACAGGCAGAGGAACCAAATAACCACAGCCCACAGCACCAAGCTGTGGTTCTGACTGTAGAGAAGCCCTTACTGGATAGAGAATCCCTTATTGGGGAAAAGAAACCATTTGGAATCCATTGCCTGCTCCTTGTAGGCATGAGACTGCTTACTGGGTACCCAAGGTGGGTATTCTATTTATTATCCAGTCTTGGATCATCAAGTGAACCAAAGCATTAACAAATTCCAACAGAACAGATGCCCCTGCTGTTAATTTAGCTGCACAGCACCGCAGCAGGCCCTTTGAGCATTATGGAGAAATTTTAAGGGAAAAAATGCTACTTACCTTCTGTGTAATCAAACTAATTGCAAAGTAGAACATGTAATATTCAAATGGATCTGGAAGAGCGGAGTTAAGGATCACATAATAGAAACAAGGTACAGCTGTTAGATATTGGGAGATGCTGAACAGCCACTACATTTGTACTTTGTCAGTGCTGAAGTGCCTTGCTAGAGCTTTTGAGCAAATTCAGCCTTGGCTTCTTGCTTTCCAGCTGACTGAAACATTGATAATTGAGGTGTTTGTGCTACTCTTGGCACATCTGACTATTTCAAACTGAAACCAGCACAGATACACTGATTCCAAAAGTACTCTACCTGCAAAGTGAATGTGCTCTTTTCCACCATGTTGCATAAACTACAAGTAGGTACAAAAAAAACCAACTGTGAAATACAGGCTCTACTGAGAAACACTGGGAATTTTGTTGTTGACTTGATTAAGGCCAGAAAATCCTCCAACAAGGGTTTATAACAGGACACATTTATTTTAAATTGTAATCTAAACATTTATAATCAGCCCAAACTCTTCAGCATGGCCATGATTTACCCCACATACATAATAAATGTAGAAAAGAAACACTCATGATCTCTCAGTTTTAGATATTTTACAAGGAATTAGATACTCAACTGTTAAAGGATACTAAGAGCCAAATTCAAGCCCACACCACCAGATGAAGGAAACTGGACTTTGTTGTGGTATAAGGAGCATTCTGGCAGAACTTGCTCTTGTATTGAAGCTTTCACAGGGCCCTGAAAGAGTAAGAAAATATTCATCTGGCTACTCAGCATATTGCAAAGTATGTTTTCAGATAGTGAGATTCTGCATTCCAGCTTTCTGGGATGATCCCTACATTCAGATCTGTGGGATTTTATTGCATTGCAGTAGTTCTGTGTCTAAATGCAAGGTCTTTAAAGAACTCTCAGCTCTCTCTCTGAAAATGAGTATTCAGTATTTTTTGAAGTTAAATTCAGTATTTTTTAAAAAAGCCTTCACCATGACTTTCCCAGTTGGAGTGGGAGCAGCAGAGTATTGGTGTTTGGCTGCTGGTTTTGTCCAGGTAATTGAGCTGTGGACCAGCAATTACCCTATATTTAAATGAGGTTTCCCTTTGTTAAAGACTGTAGGACTATCTGAACCAATTTCTATGCAGCATGTAGGTGGTAGCAATGGAAGAAACAACAAAACAACTCTGCAGATGAACATATTTGCTGGAAATGTGACACTTCACATCCAGGATAGCAGTCAGACAAGCACATGGGCACACAGCTTAGGCAGGGAAGACACTGCTCTGGGATAAGTTTACAAAACTACTTTCAATCCTGCAACTACTAATAACCACACACCTCTCTCTGGGGACAGAGTAAGAACCACAGTGCAGCTTTCTTGGCTGAACAGACATATCCAGCTGCTGAGAACCACAATCTCCTGGAGATTTTATGGCTGGGAACTCTCCTCCCCCAGGAGCCATTTCAAGAAATGGGTCTAAACCTGGAGCACTTGGCCTAAACTGAAATGTAGGTATAAAATGCATGCAAAGCTCCAGTAGCTGCAACAATAATTACATTCCCTTCTTACAAACTGTTCAGTTACTCACTGGAAGGTATGAGACTGGGAAATCATATCTGTACTCTTCTGCTTGGAGTTTGTAAACCAGCTTCATCATCGGTCCACTGCAAACAAGCACCAGACAGTGAATCCCACGGTAAATACCCTCTGCTGCCTGGCTTCTGTGAACTTAGTTTTGCACAATGGAATAAGGTCAAACACTGCTCATTTGTTCAACAGTTCACTTCTTAATCTGTGCAGAAATGAGTGAGTTTACCTGGGATCCAGGAAATCCAAAGCCACAGAATATTCATTAGGATTTGTTCTTCCCTGCAAGCAGCGAAGATTCCAGCCCACGATGATGCCATCCAGGCTGCCAAAAATGCTCTCCACCAGCCATGGGAAGATGCCATGCAGTTCCTTCAGGGAAAACAGACACAAAGAATTAATGTGCACAATTCCTCACTTGGATATTCTCTACTGCATGTACTAGGACCCACAAAGATAACTCTTGACATTTATTTATGACTGGTTTTGGATTATCACTGGGCAGATTGTCCATCCAAAATACTGCATTATAACACAGCAATTATGGGAGACCTATCTTTATTTCTGATCCTACTGAAGTCACAACAGTGCTCATCAGCATCACCTGGGCAGTGAAATGAAACAACCCTTTAATGATTAGAAAAGGTTCTTAACTCTTGGCAACACTGGAGTCCCACTGTTTCCCTGTTACTCAGGGACCCAAAACTCAGAACCACAGAATCAGGCTGGAAAAGAGCTGAGATCATCGACTGCATGCTGTGACCAAACACCACCGTGTCAACCAGACCACGGCACCGAGTGCCACATCCAGCCCTTCCCTGGACACCTCCGCGTGGCTCCAGCCCGTTCCAGACAGTTTGTCTTGATAAGACAAAGAGGAACAAAGAGAACTGTAGTATAAAAAACCAATTCCCCTGAAACTTGCCAAGCAGCGAGGCTCTGAAAAAGCAGAGAGCGCTCACCTTAGCAGGCAGCTCCTCGATGACCGTCTCCAGATCGTGGCACCTCTGCGCAAAGGGTTTGTTGACACAATCCGCCTTCAGCGTGGCCTGGTACAAACCACAAGGGAAATCCGATCACGGCTGCCGGGCACGACAGCACTTACCGCGGCCACGACGTGCGAAAATCCCCCCAAGCGCCGCTTCTCCGGCGCAGCATTGCTGCCGACACCCGAGGCCGCACGGGCCCCCCGCGGTGCCTTCACCGCGTACCGAGACACCGCTCCGCTGCCCGCCCGGCCCGGCCCGTTCCCGCGGGCTCGCCCCGCCGCAGCGCTGCCATTCCCACGAGCAGCAGGAGGACGCTGTGCCCCTCGCACCCACCAGGAGGAAGCTGGGCTGCTGCAGGTGCGGCCCGGCCATGCCGCCGCTCCCGGCCCGGCCCAGCCCGGCCCAGAGCGACCTCGGCGCTCCCGCCACCTCCCGCGCGGCCCTTTTGCGTCACGGCGCGCGCGCGGATGACGTCACGGCGCGTCGCCATGGAGACGCGCGGCGCTGAGGGGGGCGCGCGGCGCTGAGGGGGGCGCGCGGCGCTGAGGGGGGCGCGCGGCGCTGAGGGGGGCGCGCGGCGCTGAGGGGGGCGCGCGGCGCTCGCAGAGCCCTGGAATGTTCCTGAGCTGGAGCCGCCACAGCGACCGCCGAGACCCGGAGCACAGGTCACCCGTGGGAAAAACAGAGTTCATGCTTTAGAATCTTTAAAAGTTTAATAAGGGGACAAAGAGGGACAATGTCCAGCGCTGAGGCGTTTCTGGCCATCGGCCAAAGAACACACCGATAGATTAAGACAGTGTTACCTACATACTGTTACATTACTGAGGTTTATACATATTCATGTGTTTCATACATTATTCAAACATTTCTGGGAGATTTTGATGTTGCAGAAACTCTTTTCTTTGGCCTTACATGCTGACTTATCTGCATGACATCCTGTAGACCAGATCTTCTCTGGTTTGTGTCACTGTTATCACTTGGAGAGGTCCCTCAGCAGACGTGGGAAAAACAACATAATTGCTTCACACTGCTCTCTTAGTTACATAGAAACATTTTAATATTTCACGTTTTGCTAAGGCTTACAATCTAATACATTTATCACACCACTGTTTCTATAAGCTATACAGTGCATACATAGATATAATATTCATCACACGATTATTTCTATGAGCTATACAATGCAAAACTAATAAATTGTGTTACAGTAATACGCAGCTAAAAGGAGTTACAAATTGTACTGTATCCAAATACTTATGATCAGTAACAACAGTAAATGTGAAAGACAATATTATATTGTTATTTTTAACACCCCAGCAATCTCACCCTGTTCCTGCTTGAGGGTGTGATCCAAACACTTTTTGAGCTACGTCAGGATCAGGCCCCTGAGTGGTGCCCTGGGGAGTCTCCTCCAGTGCTCAGCCACCCTCTGGGGGAAGAAGCTTTTCCCAATATCCAGCCTAAACCTCCCCTGACTCAGCTTTGCTCTATTTCCTCGAGTTCTGTCCCTGTCAGCAGAGATGAGACCACTGCCTGCCCCTGCACTGCCCACAATGAGGCAAAGTGCCCTCAGCCACATCTCATAAGGCTTCCCCTCCAGACCCTTCCCCATCCTCATGTCCCTCATTTGGATGCTCTCTAATAGCTTAATGTCTTTTTTTTATACTGTGGTGCCCAAAATGGCACACAACATTCAAGGTGAGGCTACCCCAGAGCAGAGCAGAGTGGGACAATCCCCTTCCTTGCCCAGCTGGCCATGCTGGGCCTGATGTCCCCCAGGACATGCTGTCCCTCCTGGCTGCCAGGGCAATGGTGACTCACATCCAGCCTTCCAGGACCCCCAGGTCCCTTCCCACAGCCGCTCTCCAGCCTCTCATTCCCCAGCCCATTCACAGAGCCGGGACTGCCCTGTCCTAGGTGCAGAATCAGTCACTCTTGTTAAGTTCCACATGCTTGGTTACTGGCCAGACCTTTGATTTACCAAGGTCCTCTGCAGGGCCTCTGCCCTCGAGGGAGTGCCCCATAACCCGTGTTTGGGGTTCTGTCAGAAGCAGAGATCCGTCAAACACTTGTGGTGTCCCTGGTACCACAGCCCTCCTGACTGCTCTGAAGGACAGCTCTGTCCAAACTACAGCACACGTGTGTGTGTCCTGTGCTGGATGTTGTTATAGATGATAATACTAGCTTTCACATTCTTAGATTAGCTTTTTACATCACAAATATTTTGATATGGTACAACTTATACTTACTTTTAACTGCTTTGTATAATCTGTCAGTTTATGCACTGTTCATATGAATAAAAATGTAATAAATATATTGTAGGCTTTAGAAAAATGTTAAAATAGAAACTAAAATACTTCCATATAACTAACTCAGAAAATAGTGTAAAGCAATTATTCTGTTTCTTACATCTGCCAGCTGACCTCTCCAAGTGATAACAGTGACAAAAAGCAGAGCATAAGCATCTGAGAAGGATTTATCAACTCTGTCAGCACTATTAGGAGTGTGAACCAACAGGATAAAACCACAACAAGAAATAAAATACATAGACCTAATTTACAGAAGGTCCTGCAGACACGTCAGAAGTTAAAACCAAGCAAGAGAGTTCCTAAAACATCAAAAACTCAAAAGAATGTTTGAATCATGTGTAAAATAATGAATATGCATGTAACCCCAGCAATGTAACCGTATATAGATATCACGATTTTAAGCTGCCTCTGTGCTCTTTGGCCGTTCTTTGGCACCCCAGTGCTGGATTGTTTGTCCTTCTTTTATCCTTTATTAAACTTTTAAAAATTCTAAGGAGTGAACTGTGTTTTTCACAATGTGATGCACACGTCCGTGTGTCCTGTGCTGGATGTGGTGCACACACGTGCGAGTCCTGCTGGGGTTCCTGCCGAGTTTTACCCGTGCCTTCGGAGACAGAGACTAACTGTGAGTGAACGCGGGTCCTTGAGGGGTCGGTCCGTCCTCCAGGTGGGGATAACGAGCTGCTGTAGCTCCAGAAAAAGCTGCTGGGATTTGATGGCAATGATTCTACGATGTGTTTATTTGGCTGTAAAAGTTATATACGTGAGTGTCAGGACTTAATGAAACAGTAGACCTGGTGTATTTTCAGTGGGTGATAGGATCTGAGAAAGAAGAAATAAAGGATCGGGTAAATATGTGGCAGCACAACACTGAAGGTGCTCAGATAGCTGCATGGGAGAAATGTATCAAATTATTTTAAGAACTAATGGAACTCCTGAGGAGAACTGTGGAACAGCAGCAGTTTGGTGTGCTCTGGAGCCCACTGAAATCGATGATATAGGTTCATTATCCCTCTTACACAGAGCATTTTCACATGTATATATCAAGACTGTATATCTATGTTTTTCCCATTTGGCAGATGCAAAGACTGAAGTCGAGAAAAGTCACCTTACCTAGGTTTCCTTTTTCCCTTCCTCCCAAATTGTATCTGCCTTTAAGCCATAGCAACAAGAAAAGCTTTTTTCTGTTGCTGTTGGTATGTTTTTCCTGAGGGATGTATTCCTGAGGGAGTTGGAGGCTGAGCTGTTTTCTGCAAGTATGGATTCCATGTTTTGGGGCTTATTTTATGTTTTTATCATTCATTGTCAGACGTTTCTGACAGGCAAAGAAGTGACTAACCAGCCATACCAAAAGCTCTCCTAGGTAGCTTTACATTTTGTCACCTTGGTGTGATCACTAGAGCATCAATCAAACTCTACAGAGGTAATTAAGTTAATGTAATTGTCAAAAAGATTAATAACTCAATTTGTGCATAGAAGATTGAGTTAATACAACACCCAGTTACCGGAAAATCCATGAGGAAAAGAGAGTCTCTAAATCCTCCAATGCCAACTTGCACTGTTGCTGATGCTCAGGTTAAACGTTTGGGACAAGTACAGAACCAGACTGTGTGGTTCTGATGCTCACACAGTGTTTTTTTCTAAAAGCAGTATTAAAAACCTTTGAGTTAATTCATATGGGGCATCCACTGCATCATCCACAAGCACTGGTGGGAAGTTTGGGTTCAGGAGTGTTACATCAAGGCTTTTCCCCTTTAAAATGAAGTGGTGTTTGTAGTGACAGATGCCATCTTTTATAGAGCTGATGGATATCAGAGGCAGAAACAGAAGCTTTGGGACACTCCAACTTCTCTTGAAGTCTGACTCAGATGCAGCAAACAAGTCCAAGCTGTAAACATGTGACTGTAACTTTAACCTGATTATGCTGATTAATGAAAGGAAAAGACAAATTAGAAATAGTCTAATTTAGAGAAATAGCATAGGCATCTGATAACATAGCCAGACCTTGTTGCTTTTGCAGGATTAATTTAATATCTTCCTGTAAGTGCAGGTTAGAGTGTTCTAACAGTGGAGATCTGTCAAATGTTTTCTTTTGGCTGGAGAATTGTTTGGGTGTTGATATGTCAGGGATGGGTGAAATGATTAGAAAATATCCAATCTGTTCAGCTGTGATGGGAACAAAACCAGACTACCAGTTAATGAGAAACAGTCTGGAACAGGGCCTGGATTCATATAGGTGAGGAGAAAAGGGGAATTTTCAGAACTGTCATTATGCTTCTAGCAGAACCAAAGTAACTTCTGTCTCCACAGCTGTTCAGTTCATGCAGATATCAACTTTATACTGTTCCTGACATGCACAGGCCTGCTAAGGCTGTCAGTCAGAGTTCCACATGGCTGGAGATGAGACTTCATGTGTAGTCTGAGAAAACATTAACTCACCCAGTGCATGTGATGGCTTTTCCTGTGAAAGAAATGTCAGCAGCACTGAACCATTGCAGGATGAGGCATCCCCATCTCCACCCAGGTTGAGTGTGCAGTTCTTTGGGCTTCCATTGTTATTTTTCCTAATGACTTCTATGAATTTGTTCTATTTTTGCCTGGTTTCTGCAGGCAGAGATTGCTTAAGATATTGCATGACAGCATGGTATCAGGAGTTCCAGCTCCAGTTTGTCTCTCACAGCCTTGAGAGTACCTTAAGAATAGTCTGATTTAATAAGCAGTGTATTTTGTGCCTGTTTATGGGTATTTGGAGTTTTGCAACTTTGGCAGTCCCATTTTGAAGATTTTCTTCTCCATATGAAGCGCTAGAAATTTGGTTTTAATTAAAATTGGATTTCTTGCATAATCACATGAATTTAGGAGCTTGAGACATAAGTAATCTCAGCATTTCAACACTTGGGATAAAATATGAGTACTGGTGGTAGAGTGTGTGAACATAATGCATTATGCAGAGGGCTAAAGCAACTCTTGGATCAAGAGTCTGAAGAAGCTGCATATGGTGACCATTACTGAGTTTTGCTTTTTTATTATAGTGGTTGAGATCTGGGATTGGGCTTTGAAAAGTAAAGCCACACGTAAGGT